TTCATGTAAAAGTTAATAAAAGTTGGTACATGCTCAATATCCAATAGGAATTTTTCTTATACAGATGAGAAGTCCCTTTTGGTAGGTATTAGTAGAAAACAACAATACATATATATAAAGGTTGCCTTAGTCAATTGGGACATATCTGGCCTTATATGGGAGGCAGATATACCTGTTGAGTTTTATGGGAGGCAGATATACCGTCGTGGAGTTTCTACGGAAAATATATTTGGCAGACCCAGATATGAATATATAAAAAGGTGGGGGCATATCTGGCCAGATATGCCTTATATAAAAGTATGTGCTTTATATGGGCAGGTATGCCCAATATAACCATATTTGTATTTTCATATAAGTCTAGACATGCCATTTTCGTAAGGGGTACGTCGAACTGAAACTTTGGGGTGTATTATATGGGACAAAGGGTGTAATAGTTCACCCTTTTTTCAGAGTGTAGGGGTGAACGCAATATAGTTTGAAACGGCAAGAAGCGAGCAAAGCAGGCTCTCCTTGGGCAGTTCAGTCAAGGACAAGCAAACGCGCAGATATAGCTGCTGGTTCGTTGTGGAAGGAGATATTTCTTGAGCCGCCCGCCGCCCCTTTTTTCTCTCATGGCGTTTCTCCCCAGAAAACATTCGGGCCCTTGCATGACAACGCGCGATAATTCCTGGTCTTCTGGTGTTATTGAACAATATTCCACGAGGAGAATGTCCTGAAATTCGCTGACCAGTGCTCTTTATAGAAAACGATTCGACTTCGTCCGAGTCAGAAGAAAGAAGCTTAAGGCATTTCCACAACCTTGTGCAAAATGGATTCGGGAACGATGTTACCGTTCGCCAAAGGCCGCGCAACAAGCAGTTTAGCACATCTCAAATCAGTCGTTATATGTAAAAACTAGCTACCATGGCCCAACCAACCGAAGTGCGCTTCTCCAAACTCAGGAGGAAGCAATGACATCAGCCATTAAACGATTAACTTCACCGTTGAATGAACAGCGAAACCGGTAGGATGTCTGTTTTAGTTATATCTTAAGAAGCTCCATATTAAATTTACCACTTCTGTCGTTACCGACACAGATTACTGCCTGATGGAATTTAAAAGTCATTTCGAAATAATTTCATCGATTTTTAACTGTAATTTCATTGCAATCTAATTACTTTTAGTCTGTGGTAATTTGTAATGTAATTTAATTGCATCACCGTATTCCGGAGGGAAACAACGAAAAGTAAAATTTATCTACTTTTGAAATATAATTTTGCCATTTTTGCTGGACGCTGTAGTACTTCAAGAAACTCCAGACGGTGTTCAAAGAGTAATTTCCTGTGCAAGTCGCCGGCATACAGAACAAGAAGAGAAGTGTCTGGAATGTTTGGCATACTTCTGTGCGGTGCAGTAATTTCGTCCGCACATTTATGGTCGCCATTTTATAGTGGCTACTGACATTTCAGCTGTAACCTTTCTTCAAAACAAACGAAACTTGACCGCGAAGCTTGCACGTTGGGCCATTATCCTACAATAATATGACTTGTAAATCATACATCGCATTAGAAAGAGTCATAAAGAAGCAGACGTTGTTTCACACAACCCGTTAGAAGGAACATCCTAACGCTCCGGAGTATGACATTTGATTGTCTGGCACAAACTTTAACTTACATTACCGTCTTGAACAAGAGAAAGGTGCGAGGCATCGTACAAAGGATTGCATCACCCTTTTCAAGGGTGCAGCGGCTATATCTGGCATATTGCACGGAAGACGGTTTACTTTGTCATAGCGTCCCCAATCTTCGCCAATGGTTACCGGTGGTCCCGGCTGCTTCAACAACTGCTGTACTTCACCTCTGGTATGACGATCTGATAGCAGGCCATCCAGGTCAGGACGAAACGGTAGCCAAGCTCTCGGAACGATATTTGTAGCGCGGTTTTTGAAGAGGCGTTTTTCAGAATGTAGCTTCTTGTGAAACGTGCCAACAAAGACAAATCCCAAATTGCTTACCGATCATCAAGATTCATCCTAATCTACCACCACAAGCTGCTTTCGGGCTTATTGGTCTGAATCATCTGCGGCCATTTCCGAGGTCACAGAATGTCAACCGTTTCATAATTGTAGCTATTGACCATTTCACAAAATGGATCGAACTGCGTGTTGTATCCACGTCTTACGCGCCTTACGTCGTGGAGTCTCTACGGGAACGAACAGATCTACGTCACGGGGAACCGCGCCTTGTGCTCACCTGCCATGGCACCCCACTTAGCTCTCGACTTTTCCAATATCAGCTGGCAGCCATTGAAATACAGCACGTGCAAGCAGCGCCTTATCGGTGTCAAACTAACAGACTCGTTAAGTGTTCTAATTGCTTGTCACAAACATCCTATAGGCATACGCAAAAACATCACATGACAACTGAGATTTTTATGTAGTATACGCATCCTTTGCTCCAAGTACATCGCAATAAGTAAGTACCCTAACCTGTTCATTACAGCTGGTTTGCAGTATAACTTGGGTTCTAGCTCAAAAGTCAACGTTACCCGCAACGTGGGACCACAGAAGACGAGAAATCAGTGGTCACTTCGTGAGTCTAGTCAATCATGCTCGATGGAAGACTCGTATTGCCATCCGCAGAGCCCAGCGGCAGATGCTAACCAACCACAGGAAGGACGATAGGCGTACTCTTCGGGGTGGCATCGGGGCTCGTGCCCCCTCTGGTGAGATCCGGGGAAGGGGGGCGGAGCCCCCTCCGGGCCCGGGCCATGATCCTTACCGATACGCTGTTTACGTGCCATGTAACGAGCTTCTATAGTAGTGGCGTATAAACAAAATAACGCCCACGTTGCTTTTATTGACAAAATAGATGGGAAATGGAATCCCAGCGTGCTTTCGTTAGCTCCAATCTCCAGTTCTGGCGAAAAGGTAACGTGCAGCACCCCCCCCCCCCCCCCCCCCCGCGGAAAGCTTCTCAATCTGCCCCCCCCCCCCCCCCCCCCCCGGAAAAATGGAAAGTCTACGCCACTGGGAAGGACAGTCGGATGGCTCCCACGGCGACGGGCAATCTTGTGCTTGTGCGTCGGCCATTGAGAAGAAAGGGAAGGGCCACCAAACTACTTCCGAAGTAGGAGAGCCCTAGTGGACGAGACCTAAACGCAGAACGAGGAACAGCCCATTTATTTATTTTTTTGTAGTACATCAAAGTCAGCTGAGCCTCTACGTTTCCAGGCAGATCTGCAACCAGACAGACTGTCGAGGACGGACAGTTAACTAGGGGGGAAAGTGTGTCAGAAGAAAACCGAAGCACATCTAGCTAGAGCTGCAAGTGGAGTGCGAAGAAGAGAAGAAAGAGGGCGACTTTCAGATTAAGGATAATGATCTAGAGAGTAACAAAAATTGACCTGTTACAATATATATATATATATATATATATATATATATATATATATATATATATATATAATAGTACACAAATTTTGAGGGACAATTTTACATTTAGCCGTAAGCCACGGACATTTTTTGTTTGGTTGGAGGCCCTGAAAGCATGTCTGTCGGGCCTCCCTCTATAACTATGTTCTCGATTCTTATCTCATGTTGTCACACGCCTTTCGATTGGGCTACTTGGTTCGTATTAGACATGAATAAAATACCCCGAGCTTGACATGTGAAAAAGTGTGCATTTTTGTACTTGTCAAGTTCGCGCTATTTTAATTACTTATCTAACGATTTATTATTTGGCGTTCGTATTGCGTAATGTATAAAATCTATAATATTATGCATTTCTATACATTATACGTAACATTATTAACATAATGTATAGCGTTTAAAAATATTTTAAAGGAATATATTTTATATGAAATTCTCAAGTTCAATTTTGAAAGAATATAATCGGCTCTAAACCTGTCATACTTCGTCTGGAACAGCTAAGAGAGAGTAAATTTTATATAGGTTTTGTTCCTTCTCTCCTCTTAAAATTATGGCTTACGTCGCAGTCTCATTAGTTATGGAGCGATGATAAGATGCACAGGACCCACGACACTTTACGTTTTTTAAGCTGTCAGTAGAGACGATACCTAGTTCGCGTTCTCAACATTTAATATGAGATGGGATCGAAGTTGAACGTATTGGCAGTTGAAATCATTGGCTCAGTTAGGCATACTTTGGAGAAAGCCTTCTCTGGAATTTCTTTTTCTGTTTGGCTCTGCTATACGCTATACGCCACAGCGCTTTAGCGAAGTTCTTCGAACTCTCCATTTGAAGAAATGCATAGACATTTCAACACCTCTGCTCGCTGTGTGAAATGCACCGTTAAAATAGAGCGAAGGTATGGAGCAGTGCATGTTGTGTGGTATTAGAATAAAAATGGGTTATTAACAATTTGGTATGCAAATTCGCCGCGTGACTCAATTTTGAACGTTTTGTTATCTTATACTTTATTTTTGCGCAGATAACTTTTAGAGCAAATGAGAAATAAAAGTCATATCTAATAACGACGGCGACGGCCCGTGTCTTGTAATTTTGCTTCTCATTATAATAATTCTGCTGCTTGATGGTGTTTCTTTCTGAAGGCAAGACATTTGCAATTTAAAAAAATGTATAAGCATAATAGACGTTTCTAATGTCATAAATAACTAATGCCCATCTTTGCATCAAATATCGGTGCAGTTGCTCTTAGTGGAACGAAACCAACAAATATTATTTTAAATACGTCTCGATGAAAATTGGAGTCAATATTTCATCACTCAGGTCTAATGCAATGTCATCTATAGAAAAGTTCAAAATGATTATACAATTGTTACAAAAAAATTAAATAAAGCACCTCTTTACTTTAAAATGTACAAATAAGACCTGGCTTGTAACAAACTAGCTCCTGCTTCATTTAAAATATGGAAACTAGTGAATGTTATGACGTTAAAGGCATCTTTGCAAAACAAAGCGAGATAGGTTAAAAAAAAATAGTTATACAAGAAATGTATTTGTTCTCGTAAGGCATTTGTTCTTATTGTGCCTTTTTCAGCTTGGAGCGGGGGCCCATGCACGATATGTAGTGAAAACAACTATGTGTTCGTACGTAGTACCGGGTACTTTCAAGAAATGGACAACCTAAAAATTCATCTGTTCCAAATGTGAGTTGAAGCTTTGTAATGACTTAAAGTTCGCCGGGTATCATTAGAGGCAAGCTCTTACATACTATACTGGGTGTAACAAACTTTGATTGCTAGTGCTATATTGAAAATTTATACTAACACCTTTCCAAAAAGCATTAACCTAAACGTTACTAGTCAAATAAACTCAAGCAATCAAATTCATGCCTGACTTTACTGAACTCAAATATTTGCCAAGTAATTATTAAAATATCAAGGTTTACAGTATGACATTTAAAGGCTATATTTCTGAAAAAGCAGACAGGATTCTAAAACACTGAGACTCGATAACTGTCTCTTATTAGCATTCAAAATGAAGCACATTCTTGTCTACTTAATTTTCTAAGAAATAAAAAGAACTAAAATAAACAAATATTTGTATCCACCGAGGCGTTAGACGCGGTGCGGTAACCCAATGAAACAAAGCCAAAAAAAACTTGTACCACATTAGCAAGAAGGAGTCGCTATTTAATGTTTTTTTTTCTTTTTTGAGAATCAAGCGTTAAGTACTAGTTACGCCCATTTCCTTATTTATTGATTTGAAGCGGATGTCCCAAAGGCGTGAAGGTTCACGTAAGAATTGCCTGTCTTCCACCTGGAAGAGAGCCCTTTAGCCGACTGGCAGCTGCTGAAAAAAATCCGCCTATTTGTAGATTCAACTCCCTACCTCACCAAGACCAGTGGACTTCTCTACGAACTGAATCCAACAGGGGATGGCAGTCGGTAGAGCAACCGCATGTTAACAGTTCCCACAACTCTTGATCATAACCACTGCAAGGGTGAAATCAGCGGTTAATGATTGATATGATGATTGAGAAAGTCTCCAAGGTGGGGAGAATTTACGTCTAAATCCTTTGATTTCCAAGTGAAATGGAGCGTAACTTTTATCACTCATTGATCACTGATTTCACCTTTCCGGTGTTTGTGATCAAGACTAGTGGCAACTGCTTGCATCTGTTTCCTCTGCTGACTGCCAACGCCTGGTTAGCTCTGTTGGTAGAGTGCTCCGCTAGTCTTGAAGACGTCCAGCGATTAAATCTCGGAGTAGGCGGATTCCTTCAGCGGCTGCTAGTCGCCTAAGAGGCGCGGGATTCGTTCTACTTCAGGTGAACGTAAATTTATTAATATGTTCATTTCCAAGGAAATGGTTTAAAGTGAAACATTTTGACTCTGGACAGTAGCAGCCAGGATGGATCAGTCAATCACAAGGCCTATTCTGTTGTAACAACTTATCAAAATATCAATCATAATTTTTTTAGGCTCGCGAAATATTTTAACATTTGACAGGTTAAAATCGACCATGAAGCTACGACTATAAGATGAACATTGCTGCCACAAACGTGCAACCACCAAAAATTTAAAGTATTGTAGCGGTAGTTTGAATAATGAGATAAAATTAAGTAATTAAACTTTCATACTTCAGCTCCAAAAGGAGCCAAACAACGTTCATAAACGAATGCAATAAAGAATTTGTGAAGTATAAGCTTACTAAGAGAGCTCCCGTCATGGAAGACCTTGTTGTGCAGGACACGCCTCTTCTGCTCCGCCACGAGCTTGGCGACGAATATTACAGTCGGCGAAAGGAACTGCTATGCTCCGTGGTGATTTCAGTTCTCTGATTCTTCTCGTTTTTTGTCTGTAGAATCGGCGATAAACACCAGTACAGCTGTTCCCATGAAATGCCTGACATTCTTGCGAAATTGCACCACTCCCTTAAGCGGGAATTTTTTGAATGCATCAGAAGGTCAATTCAGGATTGCGTACGGTAAGCACCAAATTTCCCCGTCCTAGCCGTGTTCAAATGGTAATCCACCTTCTTATACTCAAACTTGTAAACAATTCCGGCTATCACTCGGACACTGCCAGTACCACATAGACTACTCCAGGGGTCGAAACACGCGGCCCGCGACTCTAGGAAGCTGCCCGCAAATGTCCCGTGGCAGCGAGCTCCCGTTCCAGGGCCTCGAGCGCTGCATGCGCTATAAATAATGACCTACTGTTGTGAATTCATTTTCACTGTAAACGTATATCTTTGCTCTTCTGGAGTTTTATGATATTTCCCTTACGAAAATGGCAGATCTGGACTTATATAAAAAAAACAAATATGGATATATAAAAAATTGGGCAGATCTGGCCATATCGAGCACATCAGTTTATATAAGCCTTATATAACCAGATCTGCCCAATTTTTTATACATCCATATCTGGGTCTGCCAAATAGGGGTATATCTGCCTGCCATATCAGGGTGCTTTTTTTTTTTTTTATTCTTGCAGATTTGTTTTTAAAAAAAGACATGAAAGCCACACTTATGCGGTTTCTGCGAGTGAGTTATACGCCCAGGGGGACATTACGTGGGCGCTAAGCTTTGCGATTACTCGGCTAATTAATTAAAATTCAGTAATGAACTTTTCAATTAGTGAAAATAGACATACGGTTCCAATAAGCAGCTAGCGGGGCGTCGTCCAAAATCCCTAAATCAGTCATTTTCAGAAAGTCTTTCAGCGCGTGAGAAGCACACTAAAGCCACCACTCGTGGAGCAGGTACAAGGATAGCGGTTTCGGTAAGGCGCCCGCGCAATTTTTCTGTCTCTTATCTAGCCCCAGCCTAGTACCTGGTCCACAAGTGGTAACTTCAGCGCACTACTGCGCTTCACACGCGCTCAGTCTTTCTAAAAATTACTGGTTTAGTGGTTTTGGACGACGCTCAGCAAGTTTCTAATTGAAACCATGTCTATTTTCACTAATTAAAAGTTAATTAATGAATTTTATTTAATTAGCTGACTTATCGTAAAAATGAGCAAACTACATAACGTCCCCCTGGGCGTATCACTCTCGCACAAACCGCGTAAGTGTAGCGTTCACGGCTTCTTTTAAAACAAATCTGCAAGAATAAAAAAAAACGGTATCCACCGTGCTGGTAGTTGACTCTTCGACCCTCCACAGCGGGAGCAATGGTAAACTGTGCCGCGCTCGGCTGTAGCAATTACCCGGTATCCCGACGATCGTTTCGTCAGCATGAACCGCGAGACAGAGTGTCCGTCAAGTTAGAGAAAGTACAAGCGGGCGGAGAGGGATACGCCCGCGGATGACCTAGCATTGTTTACCAGTATTTCGCAAAATCGCAACAATCTTTCTACAAGCGACTCGTAAAGCCGCTCGTCAAATTTTGGAACGCGTAATTAAGAGTCTGTGCTGCTGTTGTTTTTTGGCGACACGTCAAAACTTTGTCGGCGGCATGTCGAAACTTTCTGCTTGTAGCGCAATCGCACCAATGCCGAAACATTCTGCACAATGATTCTCCAGGCTGCCAGGAGATAGACACGGCCTAAATCTAGAGGTAGTCTGGAAGAATACATTTAGGAAAAACGATCAATTGTCAAGAAGTAGGTTGCAGCGCACTTACGTTGACGAGACGTGACTTGAAAGGTGTTGTACGAGGGAGATGTCGACACGGCCACGGCAAAACCACCACTCGAACACAGAAACGAGAAGGTGCCCGTGAAGATTCAACACAATGTAACACAAGCTGTCGTTTGTAGAACCGAACACTAAACGCATCACAAAAAATTCTTGGGCTTCTTTGAAGAAATCACTTGCAGAAGCAGACATACGCGTCTGCCACAGGGGGAGAATTCACACGCCAAACTAGGTCCGGCTAAACGCATTCCGAGATCGGCAACGGCTAACGCGTCATCCGTCAAACCACGTGACCACTCACCATTTACAACGCTTTCAGCTTAGGGAGAGAGAAAAGGATCGAAGGAGCGGCCAAAACGGCGTTTCACGAACAAAAGGCTTATCTTTTGGGGCCACAACCAGGAGATGTGTCACTTGTAACGAAGGTTGACAGTGCTGTGAATGCTATGTGTGGCCTTGGGCGCCAGGCAGGTGCGATGTCCTGCTTTGTCACCAGATTCTAGACTGTAGTCACGTGACCCTAAGCGGAGACATGATTTGCCTAAAACACGCGTAGCGTCTACCCTGCTGTCAATACCGAGTGAACATACAGCTCTATGAAGTCTAGCTTTTGAACTCAAAACGATGCAAGTTTCAAAATACTATGTTTTACGCTGTATAAACCACATTATAATTTTAAAGGAAAAAATTAACGCGACTATTTTTTTTGTGCCTGATGTCGACAAATAAATAGATAAATAAATATATATATATATATATATATATATATATATATATATATATATATATATATATATATATATATATATATATATGTATGTGTGTGTATTTCTACCAATAAATTTAAAATCACGTGTACACTGTTTCAGATATTTTACGAACGAGTTATACATAAAAGACACCACGGACAGCACATCTTCCGACTTTCAACACACGATGAATCGCCGTCGCTCGCAAACGAACGGATGCTATGCTGCGCGAACGGTTTTGAAAGAGCTGCGTATTGTACTCCGGGCGCAACGGCTTCCGTTCGAAGGGAAAAGGATTCGGGACGGCGAAGTAGCGTCTTGCATCTTGATTAAGCTAACGGTTCGTGCTTACCCGCTCAATTTAGCGGGGAAACATGAAAAAAAAAAATTAGTTTCACTGCCAGATTTCGCGGGAAAATTGACGTCACGTGACATACGTACCAATTCAATTTCTCGCTAAATTTAGCGGGGTGGTTACGCCGATGGCGACGCCAACACCGCTTAACTCGGAAACGGGTGACTAAGAGCTCCGACTAAAATCCATTATTTGATTAACTCGCGCTCCGATCGCACTTCGTCATATTGTCACACATCAAACATACAACCAAATTTCATTTGTCTTTCAATCTTCAAATTGCGCAATTGATTAATTGGTCCAAATACCTGGAATAACTTCACTTTCAGGATGTTGACAATAGTTAACCAATTACATGAGACTCGTGCAATATAGATCAATCAACTAGTGTCTTAGCGAGTACATATAACTTGTTGCTTGCACGACTAAAACGGGCCCATATATCATTATCAGGGGCGCTATATTTGCACGCGTATATGGTGATATATGGACGTATTTGCGCACTTATACGGCCAGATCTGGCAGTATTTGCCCACCTATATGTCGAAATACGGCCGTATTAGCTCCCATATCTCGCGAAATACAGCCCTATTTGACTGCTTATATTATCATATCTGAACGTATATAAAATATATCAGGGCCATATCTGACATTTTCGTACGGGTTGGCACTACTCTGTTTCCTTTTTGATTGAGGATTGCTTCGTCCTACATTCCGTTAAGACACGAGTATTTTTTGGAATTCTGGTATACAACTCACCAGGAATGTAAGAATTTCCGTTCGAAAAGAATTTCTTTCGAGACTAACTGAACTCTAACACTTCCCGAGCGAATTGAGTGGCAAAGTAGCGATTGTGGCCTTGGTATCTAGTTGTATTGAAACAAATTCCTCCGAGTTGGCTGGATGGTGGTGTATTAAATACTGTAATCACATTAGGTGCCAACCCGAAGTAGTTGTGTGAATAAATCAAAAGCTGCATACGGTCCCGACAAAACGGCTCTTTTACAAAAAAGCAAATAGCACGACATCCCTTCTTTAGTAAATCTCTGCGTGTCGCTGAAAAACTCGGTTGCTTTGCAACGTGGAAAACTATCGCTCTTCTTGTTTTCTTTGTCCGAATATATATTAACCCTCCCTTTTCCCCGCCCTATCTTGGCCCTCGACATTTTGGGGTGTGCCATCTTGCCCCCACACTCAAATGAGTTCGAGACCCTTGGACTACACACTTTTTGTGCGGTCCAAGTTTGACGAATAGTTTAATAAAACATGTATTGCATCTGTATGGGCGATAAGTTAACGTCTGAATATGGTGTTTGGAATGGGGTTTCGGGGTTTCAACTTCTTGGTATATCTTGTAGCAGTGGCATGACGGATGTTCTCTATGTCTGGTGTTGCTTTTTGATTCTTCCATAGTTGTTCCAAAGTTATTTCACATTTGTTCCATAGTTATTTTATATTTGTTCAATAGTTGTTTCTTATTTTAAAGACTGTATATATTGTGTTGCTAAACTGTAAAGGGGGAGGGGGCAGAGGCTCCGTCAGGCTACTTGCCTTTATCTCTGCCCCCTTACGCGGAAAAGATCCACAAACAAACACACAAAAAAAAATTGTTGAGTTGAACTCACCTCATTTTATGGTACCCCGAGTTCCACCCCGCGAGAGCACAGCAGTCGCATTCAGTCGCTAGCCGTGACCTTAGCAGGAGCGCAGCAACTGAGGTGGAGGCTCCTTACGCTTGTTCTTCTGTAGGTCGCCACGCAATCAGCGACTTGAGGGAAACTATACGCCTCGCAAGTGGGCTCATTTTCGTCTTCTGCATATGAGAAAGGAAGTAGCGGTGACGTCAGAACGCTGAGCCCTGATTGGCTGATCGCGACACCCTATCTCAGCGTCGTCTGCTCCTTTGCAACGTCGTCTGCTCGCAACATCGTCTGCGACTGTCTTACCTTTCCCGCAACTTTCGGAAGTGCAGGTCTTTATGATCGAACTCGACTTCGCCTTTCAGAGAGGGCAAACGAAATAACTCGAGCGGTACATTGTTTTTGTATAACAACTAGCAGACGCGCATCAAGAAGGGAAGCCAAAGGACTCACTGGC